TTGTACAGTCAGCTCCAATTCTTGGCTACCCCGTGTATAACAAAACAAAATGCTGGCCAGTCCCGCACCGTCTTCACGATCATTGGTATACTGGAATTGATTGTTGCCCTACAACCTAGGGGACTCATCTTCCAGCACTATATCGGACAGTATTTTGTTGTGATCCATAGGGTTTAGATCACCAGGCCTTTCTTCCTAGTCTGTCTTAGTCTGGAAGCTCTGATGAAACCTGTTGACCACGGGTGAATCTGCTGGTATTTGAAATACCAATGACATAGCTTCCAGCATCATAGCAATATGCAAGCCATCACAGTATGACAAACTGACAGACGGGTGGTGGGCCTCATCATTGTCAGCCTGCAGGGGCGGGGCCAACATGGCACCATAGACAGACATACCATGCTGACTGTCTGCAGCAACGACTCAAACAACTAAATAAAACAGATACAAAAGTGAATCCTGGAACCCTAAGCATCAAATGAAGGGATAAAGAACTAGATCAAACACCCAATGGAAGAAGAAACTGACAGAAAACGGAGAATGAGGAGAGAGATGGAGTGGCGGTCCCCTGCTAACTAACATGGCACAGCGTCACCGTCTTGGAATACAGTCAGCAAGGACCACAGGCAGGGAGTAGGCGTACGGGAAGGCAACTTCATGGAGCTCCCAACAGGAGACGGAGCGCCTGGTAACCAGAGAAACACGCTTTTCGTCCCTCACCCTTCTGCCCTGTTCACTACCTCCACCTCTTCCTGATGGCATGAAGATGGCTCTCTCAACTGGAGAGCCACCAGCCTGCCGCCACTGGGTCTGCCCCACCCCCACTGGCCAGCTCCCGCCGCATCATTTTTTTTCTTCCCTTTCTTTCTCCCTCCGACCCAGCCACATATGCCACCTCTACCCCTTCCCACTGGGCCACATGGTATTGCCTTGGCTAGAGAGCTACCAGCCCGCCGCTGCCCTGGGTCCACCCCACCCACATCCGTTGGCTCCTGCCATGCCATATTTTTTTTTTCTTCCCCTTTCTTCTTTTCCTTTCTCCCTCTCACCTAGCCCCATATGCCACCTGCTCCCCTTTCCACTGGATCAGGCCACATTGCCATAGCTAGAGAGCTGTCAGCCCACTGCCACCCCAGGTCTGCCCCACTGCTACTTGCCGGCTCCCACCATGCTGCCTTTTTTTTGCTTATTTTTGTTTCTCTTCTTTCTTTCTTTCTCCCTCTCACCTAGCTCCATATGTCACCTCCCTCCCTTCCAACTGGCCCTCAGGTCTGCCCTGCCTCCACTCGCTAGTTTTTAAAATTTATTTATTCATTTTTATTATTTTTTAATTTAATTTAATTTTGCTTTTCTCTTTCTTCCTTTTCTTTCTCCCTCCACCTAGCCCAGTACACCACCGGACTCTGCTGTCCTGCTGAGGCTAGAGAGCCACCAGCCCGCTGCTGTCCTGGGTCTGTCCCGCCCCCACCAGCCGACTCCCACTGTGTCCCCGTTTTTTTCTCTTTGTTTTCTTTCCCCCTCCCTCCTAGCCCCATAAGCCACCTCCTCTCCTTCCCACCAGCCCTCAGGTCTGCACTGCCCCCACTCACTGGCGTCTGCAACGCAGCCAGTTTTTTTAAATTTATTTTTATTTTTAATATTTTTTCTCTTTCTTTCTTTTCTTTCTCCCTTGCACCTAGCCCTGTACGCCACCTCCCCCTTTCCCACCAGACCCGCCACACCACTGTGGCTGGAGAGTGACCAGTGCACCAGCCCACCACTGCCCTGGGTCCGCCTCGCCTGCACTCATAGTCCCTGCCACGCTGCCAATTTTTCTTTTCTTTCTCCCTTCCACCCAGCCCAGTGCATCGTCTCCCCTCCCTTCCCGCCTGCCCCTGGGTCTGCCCCACCCCCACTGGCCAGCCTTCACCGTGTTGCCATTTTTTCTTTTTCCTTTTCTCTTTCTTCACTTTTCTTTCTCCCCCTTACCTAGCCTTGTATGCCACCCCCTTCCCTCTGGCCCCCACCATGCAGCTGCAGCTACCGCGTCCCTGGCACCCAAGCCTTCCTGCCACCCTGGGCCCGCACTGCCCCTCCCCTCCTGCCACTCCACCAGCTGCTCAACGGTGGGAAGCAAACCAGTGCCCCTCCCCATGTGACACCCCCACCCGTCTGGTGAGGGTTGTGAATGCTCCCACACTGCTAGACCAACATCAAGAGGCAGGCAGCACCCGCCCAGACTGCCCTCAGCCACCTCGCCAAACCCGTGTACAGCTAAGCGGGTTCGCCCTGCCTGCTGCTTCCCTGCCTCCCCAGACAAGGTAGTGAGAGGTGTCCTGCTCACAGATAAGCAAGTGGCAAAGAACACCTGGCCTGCCCACTCTGACATACCAAAACAAAATAAAAAAGCAGGATGAAACAAATGAACGCACAATCAGTCAATAAATAATATCGCGATGTCTTGGAGACAGCAGACAATATCAAACCATATTAAAAAGCAGGATAAGATGGCTCCAGCAAATGATCAAAATAAAGAATCAGATGATCTTCTGGTAGAAGAAAAGGCAGTGAAACTACCTGCTATGCAATTCGAAAGACTAGTAGTTAGAGCTCTCCAAGAGATTAGGAAAGAGGTCAAGGAAAACACAGACAAAACCAAGAAAAAATAATCAAAATCATGGAAAACATACAAAACCAACGAAAATATAGGCAAAATCAAGGAAACCACAGAGCAATAGAAGAATTCAGGAAAACAGTACAAGAACAAAACGTCATCATCAGTCTGCTTTTTCTCTCTCAGCACATATCATGATTTGCAGTTGCTTATTGGTTGATAGTGTGTCTCTTATCCATCTCCCCACAGAGGATTTTCAGCTCCATTAGGGCGAGGTTTTGTTTGTCTTGTCCACTACTCTATGCCCAGTGCCTCCCAAAGGACTCGGATGCAGTAGGTGCTTCATTCATAGTTAATGAATTGACTATGAGGATGGATGACGGAAATTGGAAATGAGTCCATTTTGGACTCTGTGGCTTCCAGGATGGTGTGAGGACTAGCTCCTCTGGAAAAAGTGGAGGAAGGAGAGGTCCAGGAGATCCAGCTGCGTGCAGCACGTGTGGTTGCAGGAACCAAGACTTTTTATTTTTTTATTTTTATTTTTTTTATTGTACTTCAGGTGAAGGCTTACAGAACAAACAGTTTCTCATTTAACAGTTATTACAAATGTTGCCCTATGACAATGGTTAACAATCTCACAACACATCAGCAATATCCTTACTCAACCTTGGGTTCCCTATCACGAGCGTCCTTGTCCCCTTCTGCTTTCTGGCCCTTGTCACTGGACTCCTGTACCTCGTTAGTCTCATTTGGTTTTACGGGGCTGTCCACTCCAAGGCTGAACGGTGAACCTCGGAGGTAACTTCACCACTGAGCTAAAAGGGTGTCTGGGGGCCATACTCTTGGGGTTTCTCCAGTCTCCTTTAGGCCAGTAAATCTGGTCTTTTTTTTGTGGGTTGGAAAGGAACCAAAACTTTTGACTCTTCCTCACTTAGGAACAATAGCTTGGTCCTGACTGCTCCTAAATCACAGTGGTTAATGCTTATCTTGAAACAAAACCCTTGGTGAATCTTTGCTTTCTGGCGTTGGTGCTGGCTTTGACTCATCCCATTTGACCCAGGAGTTTCATATGTAGCGTTGAGGGATTCTTTTCCAGGTTTCACCTCATCGTTGCTGAAAGCTAAGCAGGAAGTTTAGCTCCAATCCCAGGCTCTGCCTCTTACTAGAAGTGATTGATCTTTGGTGACATTCTTAACTCCCCAGACCTCTTTTTTTTTTAATTTCTAAATTAGAGTAGTAAAACTTACCTCACCCAACTGTAAGGGTTATATTGGTTAACATGTGTCAAGTGTTTATAGCTGTCATAAAGTAGGTAGTAAAAAAAAAAAAAAATTAATCCTTCTTTTGTATAACTGAGATTAGCACAGAATTTCCCAGAGAAATCATTAGCCATGGCTTTACTCTTGATCCTTCCTGATCCATTCTCCTATTTTCTAGAATTCACTTATTCACACATTCATTCCTTCAGGGATTTATTCAGCAAGCACCCACTTAGTCCTTACTAAATGCAGGACTCTGGGCTGAGGTCATTGGCCAAGACATTGTCAAGGTCAGCTTCCCAGGAATCCAATTCCGAGTCAGAGATGTGCATGTATTTATCCAGCATCCACCCATGTGAGGGAGGGAGGGAAGCAGGACTGGGAAGCTGGGGAAGTGGAAGCACAATGCAGTCACAGCAAAGGTTGCTCTATCACTGGACAATCCTCCAGAGTTGTCCAGAGCTGAGGCAAGAGGGCGGGCTTTCATTTTCCACATTGACCAATTGTTGAACACACACTGGTCAGCTGGGAAAGGGGTGTGACCTCAGGCCAGGTACTGTCTTCAGTGGAGGCGATTCTGGAAAGCTGCCTACATTTCCGGCAGCTGGGGGAATGCGTGTGTCAGTCCACAGGGCAAGACTGGGCAGAGCGCTGTACATCCTCCACACACTCCTCAGACTAGCTTTGGCCTTGCACAAACAGCTGTTCCTGACTTACACTTGTGGTTCTAGGCAGACCTAGGTTCTAGTCATAGCCCAGCCACTTACCAGCTGGTTCCTGGACAAGCCCCTCCACCTCTGAAACTGACGGGTCCCTTGTACCTTGTCGACTTTCCTCACTGTTGACTGTGGAGTACTTTGCGTGGTTGTGGAGGGCCTTAAAGAGAGAGGAAGAATGACAGCATGCTTAACACAACAGAGAACATTCAGCCCCACACACATTGGTGGGATGGGGTGCTGTTGGGTAGATTAAATAATTACACAAGGTGCTGTGTATCACAGTGGCAACTGTGCTGCTCTTAGAAAACTACACTGTTACTCTTGCAGTTCTTACTACAACATCCAAGCGGCAGTGAGCAGCCCAGGTGCTGCCTCTGCCTGGGCATGGGTAGCGGTGAGTGGCCTGACTCTGGTGCTCTCTCCTCCTAGGTGTCACTGAAATACTCCCTGGTGATCGTGCAAGGGCACCTGGTCTCAGAAGGGGTCCTTCTCTTTGGCCAACAGCACTTCTACATCTGCGAGAACTTCACACTGTCTCCTGTGGGCGACGTCTACTGCACCCGCCACTGCTTGTCCAAGTGAGTCCCCTTTTCTCCCAGAAGATTCTTCCCTGAGCCCAGCCTTCCTTCCCAGCTACTCCAGCTCTTACCTCTCCTGCCCTTGAGTTTAGGCTTTAGCTTGAGATGGGCCATGAGATAAAGCAGAAGAACTTTAAGGTGTAGACATCTCTGACTGTGGTCCCCAAAGCTGGAATCTGGGATGGTTGACAATTGGGCAACTCCACAGACCTCTCCTGCCATGAAATGAGGGACTTTCCTTAGGTCATTTAGGTAATTGAATCCAGTTGCCTCCACTTACTCATTAGACAGTGTGTTGATTGCTCATTTTACATAAGACAACAGGCACTGCCCCTCCGGGGCACACTAGTCCAATTGGCAGCATAAACGTGGTCTTTTAGAACCAGGAGTCAAGATATGTGTTATGGGAGGATTCCTCGGGGTTCATTTGGAGAGGTGATTGTGGCTGGTGGTGAGGAAGGGCTGCTTGAGGAGGGGGCTAAGATGTGGTTCCTCATTTATAACATGAGGATTTGGGTTGGCTGGTTGTCTTGAAGGGTGGTTGAGATTTTGGTAGAAATCTGAAGTTATTTTCACATCCACCACTGCCAGTGGTCATTGGCAGGAAATTTCACAGTTACTTCTTTCAGATCAAGTGTGTTTGGTCTGTTTGGGTTCAGTCAGAGCTTACTGATCAGGTGAATTGTGCTTTTAAGGTACATCCATTCAAAATCAAATTGACTGTCTTTTCACTTTTGCTACAAGTCCAGTTGTCAGGTTGTATATTTTCACTTTTCACTGCATATGAAGACATCTGATTGAAGATTCCTTTATCCAGAGGTGAACCTTGCTGTTTCTGGTTAGCCGAGGTTCCAATGATGACAAGATGGCCTCCTAACCCGGTGGCTCTCCTGCTAGCTTCTGTCAGAATCCCTGGAGGGCAGTGATGTCACTAGGGGGGTGTCGGGGGTACAGACCGTACTTGGTGACACTGCCAGAGGGGGTGACACCAAATGACTGTCTGTAAAATTTTTGTGCAGTGTTTCAGCAGAAATTTATTATTTTTCATAAAAATATTCCTGTAGTTATAACAACAAAAACATTTTTTGTAAGCCCAGCTTACATGTATCAATATACCTACAAGGCTAAAACTTAATGCTAATTTACTTTTCGAACTTTCTAATGTGCTCCGATCAGAGCTATCATTATTATCCAATTACAAAGACGCTTCAAATCACGTGGTTTCATCTGCACGCTACAAGCACGTGCTGTTGTTTTTGTTGCTGCCACTGCTTTTTTTCATTTATTGTGCTTTAGGCGAAAGTTTACAGAGCAAGTTTTTTCTCATTCAAAAATTTATACACAAATTGTTTTGTGACATTGATTGCAATCCTTGGGAAATGTGTCAGCACTCTCCCCCTTTCTACCCCAGGTTTCCCGTATCCATTTGTCCAGTGTTCCTATTACTTCCTAGCCTTCTCAGTTTTGATTTTGGGCTTGTATAGTTGATTGAACTAAGAAGCATGTTCCTCACGCAGGTTATTGTTTGTTTTATAAGCTTGTCTAGTCTTTGGCTGAAAGGTGGACTTCAGGAGTGGCTTCAATTCTGAGTTAGCAGGGTGTCTGGGGGCATAGTCTTGGGGTTCCTCCAGTCTCTGTCAGACTCATAAGTCTGGTCTTTTTTTGTGAATTTGAATTTTGGTCTACATTTTTCTCCTGCTCTGTCCAGGACCCTCTATCGCTATCCCTCTCAGAGTGGTTGGTGGTGGTAACTGAGCCATCTAGTTCTTCTGGGCTCAGGCTGGCGGAGGCTATGGTACATGTGGTCCATTAGTCTTTTCTTTGTGTCTTTTATTTTCGTCATTCTCCTTTGCTTCAGACAGGATGGGACCAGCAGATGTATCTTAGATGGCCACTTGCAAGCTTTTAAGACACCATGTACTACTCACCAAAGTAGCATATAGAGCATTTTCTTTATGAACTATGTTATGCATTGCTGGTGTTTTTATAGTCGCTGATTTTGTCAAATTTTCTGGTGTTTTACCTATGCTATTGTGCTAATTAGCATGGGGGAGTGACACCATTAGTTACTGCACTGGGCGATGCCAACCTTAGTGACGCCACTGCTCGAGGGCTTGTTAACAGAGATTACTACAAATATTGTATTGTAAAAACCCATGAAAAAGTTCACACATAAAATGTAACAATCTTTGTTGGTTACCAGGGATGGGAGGGGTGGGGGGGAAATACTAAATAGGCAATAGATAAGTGGGATCTTGGGTGAAGGGTGAGACAGTACACAATACAGGGGAAACCAGCACAAGTTGTACAAGGAAAGGTCATGGAAGCCCCATAGACACATCCAAACTCCCTGAAGGACTGAATTGCTGGGTGGAGGGCTGTGGGGACCGTGGTCTCGGGGAACATCTAGCTCAATTGGAATAACACAGTTTAGAAAGACAATGTTCTACATTCTACCTTGGTGAGTAGCATCCGGGGTCTTAAAAGCCTGTCAGCAGCCATCTAGGATACTCCACTGGTCTCATCCGTTCGGGAGCAAGGGAGAATGAAGAGAACACGATACAAGGAAAAGATTAGTCCAAAGGACTAATGGACCACAGCTACCAAGGCCTCCACCAGACTGAGTCCAGTACAGCTAGATGGTGCCCGGCTACCGCCACTGACTGCTCTGACCAGGATCACAACAGAGGGTTCTGAACAGAGCTGGAGAAGGATGTAGAACAAAATTCTAACTCACAAAAAAAGAAAACCACCCGATTTACTGGCCTAAAGGAGACTGGAGAAACCCTGAGAGTATGGCCCCCAGACACCCTTTTAGCTCAGTGGTGAAGTTATTTCCGAGGTTCACCGTTCAGCCGGGGAGTGGACAGCCCCATAGAACCAAATGGGACTGATGAGGCACAGCAGTCCAGGGAGAAGGGCCAGAAGGCAGAAGGGGACAGGAAAGCTGGTGATAGGGAACCCAAGATTGAGTAAGGATAGTGTTGATGTGTTGTGAGGTTGTTGACCATTGTCATAGGGCAACATGTGTACTAACTTTTAAATGAGAAACTATTTTGTTCTGTAAGCCTTCATCTAAAGTGAGAATAGCAGCACAATTGGAAGAGTGTAGTCAGTGTCACTGAACTGTGCATGTAGAAATTTTTGAAATGGTATATCTTTGGCTATGTATATTTTCACCAAAAAAAAAAAAAAAGTTCGAGAAGGGAGAGGGTTGACATGTTGTGGGGTTGTTAACCGATGCATAAAACAATATGTGTACTACTGTTTCATGAGAAACTGTTTGTTCTGTAAGCCTTCACCTGAAGTACAATCAAAAAAAACAAAAAAACAGAGATTACTGGACCACACCACCCTCATCTCTAATTCAGTAGGCCTGGGGTGAGGCCTGAGATTTAAGCAAGTTTCTAGCTGATGATGGGAGCCCTGGTAGTACAGTAGTTAAGAGCTCAGCTGCTAACCAAAAGGTCAGCTGTTCAAATTCACCAGCTACTCCTTGGAAACCCTGTGGGGCAGTTCTGCTGTGTCCTGTAGGGTCACTATGAGTCGGAACCGACTCGATGGCAATGGATTGGCTGGTTGGTTAGCTGATGCTGATGCTGATGCTACTGGTCCGGCCATACCCTGAGAACCACTGTTGTAGACCATTGAGAGAAGAACCAAAGTCTTACCTGCTAATAACTAAGAATTTCAGCTCTCAACTGTCATATCATTTCCAACCTACGTCAGGAAGCGAGAGTTGAAGGAGTGTGGAAAAGTGGATGTCAGACCACCCTCCTTTGATTTAGATTTGTTTTAGAATGCTGGGAATTTTCCATTCTGCTAATTTCCATCTTTTATTCATACCAAACATTCACCAATTGCTGTGTGTCTTCTGTGCTTTTTCAGGGCGGGAGGATCGTAATTAATACTTGGCAAACACACCCCATCTTGTTGCTCATGTTTTATTGATACTGATCAATATGGACAATGGGTCTGCAGACTTGCCTTTCTGAGCGAGGATGAAAGCCTTCTACTATACCTGTGTGCATGGCGTGCCCGTGGGATGTCTTGTGTGATCTATTGCTTCACTCTTCACCTCTGGTTTATGTTGCGTTAGTGTTAGATAGAATCTTCTTGATTAGGTAATTGTGTTTATGAGGTGCATCTAATCACAGAAGGCCAGTTGTCAGGTTGCGTGTACTCCGTACTCCCTTGATGTGTAATGACAAAGGGGACTTCCTGTCTGGAATGTACTTTTCCAGAGTGCAAGTATAGGGGCATAGTGAGAAAACAGTTTACTACCCTGGAATATCACTTGGGAAAGGCATAGGTAATTTTAGTCACCAGGCCTCAAAGAAGGGTTTGTTAACCAGAAAGTACCTTCTGTCCTGGGCCTTATCTCCTGCCCTAAAAAACTGTTGGCTCTCATGTGGTTCTCAGAGATGGGCTATTAGATCATGTCAGATCAATGGGGAATAAGTCCTATTTTGACCATGGAGACTAAGGCAGATATATAAATAAGCCTGTTAAAAATAGAGCTAAGTCAACCCTGAAATGGTTCTCTAAACGACTGCCATCAAACTGAGTACAGTGGAACATTAGCTCTTGAAGGAAGCTCTCTGATGTACCATAAAAACATCCCAAGTAAAACTCAAGAAAAATGCAGCTACTCCATCAGTGATTGGATCTGTGTACTTTGGAACTTTGCTCAGAAACTAAAAGCATCCGAGTAGGTTAGATTTTGCTCATAGTGGAATCTCTTCTTGGCTGACTAGGGGCTGGTTGTGGCAGTCAAGCTCACAGGTAGAGCATTTGATTCCCTTGTTTGGACTCAAACCATTCCCCTGGCTCTTTCTGAGACTTTTTTTTTTTTTTTTTTTTTGTACTTTAGATGAAGGTTTACAGAAAAATAGTTTCTCATTAAACACTCAGTACACATATTGTTTTATGACAATGGTTAACAACCCCATGACGTGTCAACACTCTCCTTTCTTGACCTTGGATTTGAGAGACAACTT